GGGGGGGGGTCAACAGACGATCATTTGGCGGAGGAGTGCTGGCATACACGAGCACCGCTGCACCTGCATTGTACCGAACACATGCGTACAACAACACGAGGGTTCAACAACTCCCCCACGCGTTGAAACAAAAAAATAGTATTCCAAAAACAATGGAGACCTACACACAATCGGCACACCTGCCGCTGTCATCGCTGCCTCCCACGAGCGCTTGTTGCCCACCGTGTCCCTGCCGTACACTGCCATGGCCCGCTCTTGTGGTCCGCCTGACCCGACAGATGCAAAAGTGTTGCCAACAAACGAAACACCCATGACAAGGAAGAGACGACGCACGGAGTGAGAGAGCGTCGCGATGTGAGATGCTGGCGTCGATGTAGGTATCGATTGATCGATCGTTGTCTGTCGCGGCGCCGACGTTGTTACGACCAGCCCCAAGCGGGGGACACGTTGCCCCCCCCCCCCCCCCNCAGACATGCCGAAGAATAAAGCACGTTATGTGTTAATGTCATGTCTGCCATTCTCAAACGTAGGTAGTGTCCGCTCCTGATCAAATCACCACCGCTCCAACTGTCCAACTGCTATGGCAACACCACACGCCATCACGACACACCTCGGTCTCCTCCGCCCAGACCTCCCAAGTCATCCTCGCTGCCGTCCACGGCCGTTAGGCACTCCACGCTAGACCCGGCCTCGTCCACCCTCGTCCTAAGCTGGTCCACGTAGGTTCGGCTGTGCGCCAGCATCAGCATTGTCTCCGGAGTGACCATCTCCACCCAAGCGGGGTCAACCGAACGTTTCAGGACGGTCTGGACAAGGGGGAGGGGGGGAGTGAAGGGCAATGAGGGTAACGAGGGAAGAGAGGCGTAATGAGTTGGAGAGGGGTGAAGACAAAAGAAAAAAGGAAACGTGAGTGACCGATTGTGGGCGTTCTATCGGGCACTAGCCAAGCGGATTCACCCGCCCATCAGCAGGTAACCGGTCCTATGAATGGTGTAGGCAAAACGACCTGGGTTAACTCGATCTGTGCCGAAAGACGTTAAACGCCGTGTGTACAGGTCAACCCTCTTTCCAGAGGGCCCACGATTGCAGCTTGTGAAACAACATGATAGCGGTGTATCCATGGTGCCGTCTCAAGAACGCTGCATCCTATACGGTAGTCTGGCCGCCGCCGCGGCTGGGTAAGTCACATCAGCCTCGTGCACCCACANTCACTTCCTGAGACAGTTGTAAGCACTGTGTAACTGCCTCGAGGGTGCTTGACCATTTTAACACAACGTGGTGCGATCATCCCCCCTGCGCGGAGTGAGGGTTCTCGACCCCGCACAACATGATCTACTGGACCACCATTATGGTTACTGCCAAAAAAAAAACAGAGAAAAAATAATAAAAGCGGTGACCTGGTTGCCGAGTTCACCAAGTGAATTGGCTTGTTTTACAACGTC